ATGGGGCAAGCGTGGCTCTGAGACCGGGGGGCCAAGCTGCGTGGGAAAAGCTCTACAGGGGGAGGTGGGATCTTGAAGGGAGAGGTACAGCAATGCAGGGCAGGGGAAAAGCATGGGATCCCTATGTCATCTTGTCAGGCAGCTTCCACACCAGAGCAGTGCTTGTGCGGGACAAATCCCTGCATCTCGGCCACATCCAACCAGCTGGGAGCTGCAGGAGGAGGTGGGGCAGAATGCCTTCCCCAGCCCAGGTCCTCAGCACCAGCAAAGATTCATGATGTTATGCTCTCACGACATTGTTCAGAGTTGTGGTACTCTTCGGTGCTGCCTGCTCATGGCGTCTCATGGTGCTGCCCTGCTCTGCGTGCTTGGAGCAGCACAAGAGGCCTCGTTCTTCCCAGGGTGACCAGGAGCTGTCCTCACTTGGGTGCTTCTTACTGACTGCTGTTGGTCAGAGAGCCCTAAAAGTGTTTTCTTTCTCTGGATCCTATTCTTTGGAGGTTTATTTTGTCAGAGCATTGTACAAGGGCTCAGCCCAGAGCCCTGCATTCCTTTGGATGGCAGTGCAGCCAAGACTGAAGCGTACAGTGCTGAGTGCTTTAGTAGCTTGTTCTCCCTTATAAATTTTACCCTCTTATCACTGACAGTCAGCGGAGCTGCGCCGTTAACTCAGTAGCAAGAGGCTTGTGTTTTTGGAACAAAATATTCCCATGCCACTTGTATGTGGCTTAGCTGGTGACAACAAAGCCTTTATCTATCACAGCTCTTCTAGATAACGGGTCCCTCCGCCATTGTTTCTGCTGAAATGTCATCAGGAGTTTCTGTACAGATGTTCAGGGTTGAATCCTGTCCCTGGTTGCTCATCAGTCCGATAGGTTGTTCTTGCAGAGAGGAACAAAGACGCAGCAGCTCGCACTGTGTCTGTCAGCATGAAACCTTGCTGGATGGAGCTGCCTGCTGGAGGTATGCGTGCTGCAGGCAGCAAAATTGAGATTCTGTTCTTTAAGCAGCCACTTCGTAGGCCGCTGTGCTTTCTTCTGTGATGTTAATATGTGAGATTGAGTAGGGGTGAACCTGAGCCATCCCAGAGTGATAAACTTCATAGGAGGTGACCTTCCCTGGCGTTGTTATTACTGAATTTTGATCCAACTTGGTGTAGAGGAACAATGTTAAACTCTTTGGGATGCTGCTGTCAGATTATGCTGCTTGCTGACATGATTTAGGTCTCAGCTCTTTTGATCAACAGAGAGAGGCTGATGTTCTTGCACAGGGAATGGCATTCTGCCAAACTGAAATACTTACCTCATGCTCTCAAAGCCGGGCTGCTTTTCTCTTCTCCCCTGATGAACCTTCTGCGCTGTCAGTCCCACAGAACAGCAGTAGCCCTGTGCCCCTTGGATCTGCCTCGTTGCAGTGGGGAACCGCAGAGAAAATTCACCTCCATGCAGAGAACCGGCACAAAATGGAGGTACTCATCAGCCTACACTCAGAACTGACAAATCCTCCTTTAAACGTCTCAGAGGCTTCGTGCTAAACCCCGCACAAAGGTGATTTTTTTTTTTCCCTTAGAACATTATGCACAGTCTAAAATTGTCTTTGGTTACTTGAAAGCTTAAAGGAGTTGCACCAGGCAGTTAAAAAGCAGAATCTGACTGCCTGCAAACTGCAGTGCTGTCCTTTGGGATAAAAGGTGCTTGAGAAATGGAAGTTCTGACAATTACCCCCAAAAAATCCCATCTCAGTGTGTCATGGGGCAGTGCTTGAAGTCACACACATGCAGAGAGGGAAAGAAAGGGCCTTTGGAGGGGAGTTTTCACAAGGGCCCAGCACTGACCCGCACATCCTCGAGTTACAGATGGAGGGAGGAATGGGATCAGAAAAACAGAGCTGGTTTGAAGTTCAGGTGATGAAAAGTGGTAGGCTGCCGTTCAAAGACAGGATTATGGGCTAGTGCTGCTTTAGTAGTTGGTGGGGGAAGAGCTTAAGGCCACAGCATTGCTGATTTATCAACACAGCCAACACTGTGCGTGGTATTTGAGTCGCTTCTAAATCCAGCCGCTGGCAATGAAAAGCACATTTAATCCATGTGTTAGATTGTTTGAAGAGGTATCTGTCTCCTGGTCTCTCCCCATGGTTGTGATTACTGAAATTGAAAATGAGGTGAGAGAGGAGATTTTAACCGTTTCACAAACACTTCCCCTCTCGAGAGGGTCGCATCTCCAGTGGCATCTTTAGCACCTGGGAGACTGTGAAATGAAAGGCTCTTCCCCTTCCTGCTCCCTGCGGAGAGAAGCCCTGCTGCCTATCCTGTGATTGAGGAGCAAAAATCAAAGACGGGATTTGTATTTGTACAGTTTATTGTTTTGAACTGCTTTGGGGTTGGGGTTTTTTTTGTTTGTTCTCTTTGATTTCTTTTTTGTTTGTTTTGCTGTGTTTTGTGTTTTGTTTTGTCGTTGTTTTTCCTTTTTTTTTTTCCTTGAGATGAGATTAATGTTCTGCATTAGGAGTTCCAGGATTCATTTGCACTGTCGGCTCTGATCCCCACCACCATAAGATAAAATACAGAAATACATCCCTTACTAAAGTAATTTTCCTTGCTCTTTTTTCTTTGGTTCTCTACCGTGAAAGGGTATTATTGTTTATCTAGTTCTCCCAATGGTTAATTCCTCTCCTATTTGATACCCTTACTCTCTATCAGCAAGCACGGCTGTGGGAAGAAACAAACAGGAGTGCAAGGAATGTCAGTGCAAGAACAGAGGGCAGTCTTCAGATCAAGTCTGAGTTGCACCCAGAGTTGCACTTGGAATAAAAGAGGGACAATTAGACAGCAAGCTTAAGCTGTATTTGCAGCTCTTATATACACAGAGCAAATGAGTAGGAATTAAAGAGCATCAGTAAGTAGATGGAGAGAAAACTCGGTGAAAAGGGGTGGAAGCTGCTCGAGAATGAGAATAAGGTATGTTGGTAAAACATAGGCTTTTACAGGTAGGATGGATGTATTGGGCAAAACCTCAGGGCTCTGGGTTGGAATAGCAGGCATGTGGCAGGTCACAACAGCTGTGTGTCATGCTACCCGTGAGTCCCAGCACATAACAAGTCCCACTGCTGTAGGACAAGTTGATGCTCAACAGGCAGAGCTGCCTGTGGACTGCTGATCAATCTGCCCTGGTGCTGCATAGCTCACCTCAGTCCTATGAATACCAATTCACCTACAATATGCAGCATGAAATGAGAGTGTGAACGGAATCCAAGAGAAAGCAAGTGAAGATCTTCCTTGTAGTTAGAAATGAGATGTAGAAAAGGGTTTTTGCTGGCAAGGCAGACATTGCTCAGGTGAACAGCTGCTCCCAGTGGCTCCCTGGGACCAAACCTTGGTGTTGTTCCATCGCCGCCTGCCAACAGCCCCGTCAGCAGCGGTGGCACTGACAATTCAGTGACCTCAAAGACTTGTGGCTGGTCCCCAATTGGACTGACTGTCCTGACCAAACCTCCCATTGTTGTTTTTCCTGTGAAATTGTATGTCTTTCCAGAATGATGTTTTTCCTTTTGAATCCTTGAACTACTGTTGGTGCCATCTCCATAGCTCTATCTGCAATTTTTACCTTTCCAGTCTCTCTATGTATTTTCTTCTAGGTCTTATTAAGTAGTTTGAGTCAGTTACACAGTTGTGCCTGGATTACTGGTACGCAGGCAGTTAAATCCCTGGATTGTGTGTCAAAGGGAAGCTTACAGCAGGGGTTACAGTAGCCCATTAATTTAAAAGTGACAGAACTTTGGAGCTGTCTCATCACATTGTTTTGGGGGGTTCTCATCTCAGTTGTAACAGGACACTCAAGAAATAGTTCCCTGACTTGAGTTGTTGGTACTGTTTCTTTTTTGGGCTTTTCGGTTAAGAATATTTTGGATCAGACAAGTTGGCACTTCTCTAGCCTTCCAGTCTGGGAGTTTTTGTGGGAAGTGAAGCTAGGTGAAGCCTTTGGCTTCACGATCGTATGAACCTAGTTTAGTAACCACTGAAGTTACTTCTGTACTGGAGCTGTCTGATGGTCTTCACAAGCTGGGCTGTTGGAACATCTCACAGCAGTGCCTTTGCTTAATGTGGCACTGCCTCGCTCTTTGTCTTGTCGCTGGCAGCCTTGCTGCTGGGCTGCAGGGAGCACGAGCCAGCCATGGGAAACGAGTAACTCCCTTGATCATAGAAGTGGTCCTGCTGGGGTACATCTGAGTTGCATGTGCAGGAAGTGGTGAAGAAGCGAAGCTCATGTTGTGACTTCCCGTGCCACATGTGCTCTGCTGATGAAAAGCAGGCTTTGGTTTGCAGGCTGTCTGGTACGTTTCAGGCTCCTGGGTTATGAACGCAGAGGAAGGGTAAGTGCGTGCCTTAAATTTGTCAGTGCTACAGTTTCACACTCCGTCAGCTTCAAAACAGGGACTACAGTCTTTCTGCAAACAGTTTTTCCTAGCTATAAGTTGTGGTTACCCAATGCAAAGCCATCACAGAGGAAAGACTCTTTCAACCTTCAGAAATGTGGCCCCTGTCCAACAAAAAAATGTATTTATAGCAAGCTCTTCCTTTTGTCCACAATTTGCCACCGTCTTGAGATAAAGAGTAAGTGATTGCAGAGGGCAAATACATTATTCCATTGCATGACAGAATCATTTGATTAACTGAGAACTGTATCAGAGTGGTCCTTGGTCTACACAGAAGGTTTTTCCTGCTGCCAGCTTCTTTGGGGATGTGTGCAAACTTTTCCATAAAATTGCTGCAGAGAAAGGGATCTGTTGGAATGAGCTGATACACTGGACTGTTTGAATTTAGCTTCTTGGCCATGTTATCTCTTCTGCCTGCTAATGTCCTTCAGTATCTATAACTAATGTCTACTAATGGTAGGTGCGTGCTCACCTATGTGCAAATCACAGCACAGCTTATAAGTTTTCTGCAAGCTAGACTCAACAGTCTCAGCAGCTTATAGATACTGACCTGCCTACACTTCTTTCAGCTCTTCTCTGCCACCAATACAGTATGGAAGCCATCGCCAAGTTTGATTTCACTGCTTCTGGAGAGGATGAGCTGAGTTTCCAGGCTGGGGATATCCTGAAGGTAAGTGTGGCTCTAAGAATAACTAAAGATCAGTGCTCGTATTCTGCCTTGACAAAGCATAGGAATGCTAATGTCTATAAACTGGGATAGGAATGCAGGACACTAGATTGCCATAGGTCAACCAACAACCTCCGCTGGGTCCACTCTACTTGACTCTACTTGGGTCCCTAAACTATGCATGTAGTTGTCCTGTAGTCCTCTACTAATCAGTAGGGAAATATAATCATCTTTGCAGTGAAAGAGATCCAGTTCTTTGTTAGAACAGTTTTTGAAGATCCTGTCTGTTTTCATTGAATATGGAGGTAGTCTAGAGTGACTGTTTAGGATGACTGTGTCTGAAGGCAAGCAGGATGACTATGAGCCAGAGAGTTTGCTGTATTTCTTGTTTCCAACTCTTAAACTGTTAAAACGATGGCTAACATGCATTGTAGAACTTACGTCTAACTTTTCACCATAAATAATTACTGTTAGTTGCTACAGGGGTTTTAGCCAGTTGCAAATGGAGGAGGAAATGTCCATGAAACAGTCGGTTACACACATAATAGAAAAGTTTAAGAGGTCCTCAGCTAGTAATGTTACACGCACTCCTGCAGGAACTGAGCAGTGGAAGAATGGCAAAATGGCAGAAGTTATCATCAGAAATACAGAGTATATGAGAGTCTCTTGAATGTTGCTGTGCACGTGTTACAGTAAAACAGTTTGTTAACCCTACTGAAGTGCCGAAGATGAAGCCACACTCTGCTCCACCCTAATTATTTACCCACTTTTCAACCCACAGCATAGCTGTTCTGCTTTGGTTGAAAATGACTGGGCAAAACACTTCTCTAAGGCCTTAACTCTTCCGCTAGCCGAAGGGATATTGCAAAATAGTGAGATATAAAATCTTGTTCTACCAAGAAACCTTCACTACCTCCCTGTACAGTCCCAGCCGTTCCATTTAATGACCATTTATTATGTCTCAGCCCTGCCTCTTCCATCACCACCATTTCTTATTTTATTGCCCTTTTAATCCTTGAAGCTTAAACAAAGCTAATGGCATCCTGAATTCATTAAGATCAAAGACTTTTTTCCCCCCAGTGATATGTGAAGGATTGATGAAGAGTCCCATTCCTAATTCTTCCTTAATTTCAGAGTAGTCCCTGCATCCCTACCATCTCCTGATCTTTACCTGATATCTGCTTCCTCAGGAGACTGTGGTTTCATTAAAGCCCTGGCTACAGTGATGGCATTGGCCAGGTCACCTTTCCTTCTGTTACTCAGTTTCCCTTCCTGTACAATCATTAGAAACTAGAGCTTCCTTTCAAATTACATCAGAAGCTGCTGATGAAAAAGGGTCAAATATGTCAGTATTAATACTAGTACACACTGAGACTTCACTATCAGAAGTCAGACAGCCTATTGCTTTAAGGTCCTTGAGGTGAACAAACTCACACTGCCCAAGACCTAGTAGCAGTAAAATAACCTGAGCAGTGCCTCTCCATCTGGCAAACACACACAGACATTCATACCCCATCCCGAGCCCCCTTCTGCTGCCTGCTCAACCTGCTGGCTGTCTGCTCTGATTTATGAAGGAGATAAAATGAACAGTATTGATGCAGAGACTAGAAAACAGGAAACACGAGGCCCTCAACCACCAGTGACAGGAGGAAATCCACCCTCTCTCTCACACACACACATCCCACATCCTTCTCTGAGAGGATGACACACAGAAACCTGACAGTCGTGCACTAAGGACCAGCAGGTATGTCGTTCTAGAGACACTACTGCCAATAGGGCTTGAGCAGGGTGTGGTGTGTGGCTGTCATTCCCTTTGGTTGGCCACAGCAGCAAAAAAAGAACCTTAATCCTGAACCCAGGGATAGGGAAGCAGTAACTGGACAAGAAGGGATCTCCATGGCTTTCTTTATCCAAATGCATGGAAGAAACCTATGTGGCAGGCAAGGCAATGGAGAATCAGCCTCAGGGACAGTAGCATCCTGTTGCCAGCACCAAGCAGTTAGAGTGTTAGGCTCCCAGAAACATGGGATTGGCTTATAGAACAAGTATTATTATTGTTAAACAATAGATTTCAAATAAGGTCTTTTCTACTTGCTTTCTTCTTTTAAAACTGTCAGGATACATCCTCTCAGGCTCCCCTCCAAAACCAGAATGAGCTGAAACACATTCTACTTTATGAAAAGGAATTCTGTCCCATGAATTGGAATGTCAGACAGAACACCAAAGACCGCAAGTTTTGCAGGAAAACCACAAACTTGCTGTATCTCTGTACTCTTCCTGCTAGCTGTGGTCTGCACCAGAGACCATCTGCAAGGGAGCAGTGAATTTGGGCAGTCTGTGGTCAGCAGTGCACTCCCTATGGACCTTTATGGTCAGCATTAATGTGAACACTCTTGACGCTGCTCCATGAGCACTCTAGGCTGGCTTCCTGCTGCCCTAAATATTGGAATTGTAAGAGTTGCTTTACAGTACTTTTTGCCTCCTTTTATCTGCCTTGGCAAAGCTCACGGCCACTGAAAACTTAGTCCATTAAAGAGCCCACTAAATAGTCCAGAGAGTTGGTGGATGCGCCGTCTCTGGTGATATTCAAAGTCAAGCTGAACTAGGCTCTGAACTGCTGTAGCTATAGGTGTCCCTGTTCATTGCAGGGGAGTTGGACCAGATGGTCTTTAAGGGTTCCTTTCAATTCAAATGACTCTGTTAAGTACAGTCTTGCAGCATGGTGTGTTGAGAGCATAGAATGACTTCTGTGCAGCCATAACACACACACACACAGGTATAGCTTTATATCCCTCCATATACCTACACGTCAGAGAAGTTTTCACAGATTTTTTTTTTTTTCCTGTGAATCTGAGATGATCCAGTACTATTAAAAGCAGCACAGAGAACTCCTTAAACCCCCATTAAGTCCTTCTGAGCTGGTTTCCCTCATCTCACAGACATCAGAGATATGCAGACTGCATCCCCTGCCACCTGGAGAGGCATTCAGAGGAAGGTATAAAGTTAACAAGCAATCAGTCTAATTCCACTTGGCCTTCTTCACTGTTTTCTTTGCACTGAAGTGGCCATCAGCCACTAATTCTGCTTTAAGGTGGGTAAGAAGTAAAGCATATGAGGAATTCTCTTTCATTTTTACACAAAATTCTGGTTTTCAGTCAGTGTCTTAGTGAGTTTTGCCTTTCTCAGGAGAGGTGTTTATTCAATCTGTCTCTCCATTGCAGGTTTTGAGCTCCCAGGAAGAGTGGTACAAAGCTGAACTCCGAAGCCAAGAGGGTTATGTTCCTAAGAACTTCATTGATTTTCATGTTCCCCCGTAAGTGTCATGGAAAATGCATTGCACATTTCCAAAGGATAGTCAAGGCAGGCGTGACAGAGGAAGCACTGGTTATAACACACAATCATAGAAGCATTCAGGTTGGAAAAGACCACTAAGATCATCTCGTCCAGCCGTCAGCCCATCACAGTTTGAGGCTGGCATGAAGCCATGCACAGTTCTGCCAGCGCACCTTCTTCCTGCCCTGGAGCATCCTCTGTTCTTTCAGAACTGAATAGTTCTCTTTATCGCTCTCCAGTGACTCCTTTGTTACTGCTGCTCGTAGGGATGCCACTGGGATGTGGCAGGAGCTGGATGGAGCTCTCCTTGGACAGAAGGAGAATAGTCACGATGTGAAGTCTTGGCAACAGAGACAGAGACTGAGCACAAAAGGAAGAGCAAGAACTCTCTGTAAATGAACTATAAAAGCGTAATTCCCTCCTCCCAACTCTTTCACCGCATTCTCTCTCGTTTCCCCACCCTGCCATCCGCATTCCCTCCCCTTCCGACGTGTGCGAGCTCTTCTCGGTACACTAGAGGTCAGTGCAACGCCGCACCAAGTGTGACAGCTGGTGTTGCTCGTGGGTTGACAGAGATGACAGACCAGCCGTGCCACTCCGCTCCCACACGCACGCAGACGCAAACACACATCCCTCTCCACGCTTTGTGTCTGCGCACCCAAACACAGATCTGTCACAGGGCAGGCGTACCTCACGTCTCTCTCCCTACTGGGAAGATGGCACTTTCAGAAAGGACTGAGAGGTGTTGAAATGTTTGCTAAGCACGCTGCCCGGCCCTGTGCCATAAAAATGCCAATAGACTGCAGTTTTATAGCCTTTTTCCTTTCAGTCGGCAGAAATACTCCCTGAAGCCCCTCTAAGAAGCATGTGGATGTGGCACTGAGGGACATGGTCAGCGGGCTGGGGATGGGCTGACGGTTGGACTGGGTGATCTTAGAGCTCTTTTCCAACCTTCGTGATTCTATTCTACGATCCTAAAATTGTCCTCTTTCAAAAATAAGCGCCACAGCATTTCAGAAGACACGGGCAGAGCACATCTCAAGCCCAGATCTGCTGGCTCTGACATGCCGGTGCCCTGAACAGGCAAACGCCATTTTGCTGCATTTTGTGCCCTACACGTAAGCATCACTGTTCCCTTTGGAGGTGGGATTGCTGGTTTCTTTGGACGTGAGCCCGCCTGCTCAGCTGAGCCAAAGAACTCAGTTTGCTCTGCAAAGACAGGCTGTTGTGCTGAGGCCTCAAGGGGCCAAGATCTTCCAGTGCATTGTGCTTGTTCACTCTTTCGCAGGGCTGTGGCATCCCACAGGGAAATGAGCAGCTTCTTATTTTCACACACATTTTCCTCATGATGTTTTCTCCGTGTGAGAGGAGCTGTGAAGAAACATTTCCACTTTGACGCTTCCCTAAGAGCAGGACACCTGCGCTTTGAAACAGGTCATGGCAAGTGCTAGAGCCAGATATAGGGAAGAAAGTCATTTCTTCTTTTTGGTGGGCCATTTTTTCCAACTGTGTATTGTCAGTAAGCATCGAGACTTCATATCAATGCTGATTAAATTCTGATTTCCCACTGACTGTTGATGATACGTAGGTAAACCACGATGGTGGTGACGAGAAGAATAACAAAACTCAAAAGATGAAGTTATAGAGTTTGCAAAACTATCAGTCCTTGGTTTTAATGCAAAACACCCAATGAAGCAAAATCAGAAGACTGCAGATTCCAGATCTTATTACGTACAGAAGTATACACTATGTTTTTTCTCTCTACTTAAAAATTCCTATTGACACAGTATTATTTTACTATTTTACGGTGACTTTTCTCATTATTTGTCCAGTGCCTTATACTACTGGCTAAATTTACATGAGTGTAGTTATGAAGTCTGTGGTTCTGAGATTTTGTGGTGTTATAAGTCTTGCGGAAGCCAATTTATTAGCACTGAAACTTTCATGCCTTGCTTCTGTTAAAAATTTATGTTTGTTCCTCACAATATATCCATCACAGTCCAGTAATTTTCAATCAGTTTACCAAGAGCAATTTGATGTATGTCTGAGAATTGTGCGTGTATGTGAGTATGTATGTGTGTGTGTATATATATATACCTTTCTAATTTAAAATCTCTTTGAGTAGCACTTTACTGCACTGTGCCTATAATTAAACTTTTAGCTGAATGTTGCTTAGCAGGCCAAAGCTTTCTTTGGCCTCTTTGCATCTCAGTGCTTTTCCTGCTCAAAGCAAATGGTCCACACCCATCAAGACCTTGTACCTTAGCCTGTCTGTGGGATGTGGGATCCTCTGATTCCTTTGTTTTGTCTTTGTGCCATCCTGTTTATTCATATTCTCCTTACCCTCAACTTTTCTGTTCCTTGTCTTCATTCGTACCTTTATTCATGATTCCATGATCTTCTCCCACTTGACAGCTGGTTTGATGAGAAGATATCCCGCCATGAAGCTGAGAGCATCCTCATGAGCAAAGGAGTTGGTTCTTTCATTGTCCGAGCCAGTCAGAACTCTCACGGTGACTTCTCCATCTCTGTCAGGTATCTGCTTCTCACAACATTTTTCTGCATCCTTTTCTGGTTAATGATCTCCCTAGCTCCTTCTTGACAGGAATCCTAATGGGACCTTGCCTCTCAAGAAGTTTGCATGCCTCCAGCCAGGCAGTGCCTCTGTGTCACATGAATGAGAATGAATTAGGTACCTGATTCCCTGATGTTTCAGTCTCCTTTCTGGTGATACAGTGAATGTCCCGTTCCTAAGCTGCATTCCCTGGAGATCTGCTTCTCTGAAGGAGCTGCAGCAAAGTGGAGTGTTACATGGGACATCTCCCGCAGTGCAAAAAATGTGCCTTCCATTTGTATTATTTGCCTGACAGCTTCAATTACTATATCCAAGAACTCCATACTACCCATTAAGAGAAGACTGTTACATTATTAACTTATTTCCCACCAGTCAATTGGATAGAACTAGCTTTTAGATGCTAGCAGCCCAGCTGCTTTATGTCCACTTATTGTACCTCAGTCCTTCTCAGTGCTTCAAAGCAGAGCTGTTAAATGCTGGTCAGTTTCCAGATTTTCAATTAATTATTAATTCAGTCACTAATCGGTTATAAACTAAAGTACTGATTAGCACTGCCTTTCCCAAGCATAGTGAACTTTCTGCTTCAGGAAGCTCAAAAAGGTATCTGGAGGGAATGCAGGAAAACATGTTGCCAGGATCACTTACTCCGCTGTGGACCCTTCTTCCTGTACACCAATGATCTGAGTGCTGTCAGGCACTTTCTCTGGCCCGAAGGTCAAGTAGTGCAGCAGAGTTCAGACCCATATGGCTAAATTCTCTTCACCTCACAGGACAGAACAGTTGTATTCAGGAAGTTCACTGGCAATGGTTCCTGGCCCATGCTGTACCCATAGCCACCACCCTGCAGTATCTGGGAGAAAGTTTTTGGTTTAGGCCTAAACCATGCATTAGCAGTTGTGTGACTGTAGCACTACAAGATAGCACTCCAGTCCCTGTCTAGTCCCTGTTTAGATTATTTGTATAGATGTAGCCTCTGAGACCAGTGCCTTTTTGAGGTTTTGAAGTTGCACAAAGGAAATAAGAACCAAAACCAGACCACCTGATCACATGTGGTCCTAAGAGGAATTGTCCAAATCAGTTAAGAGGTAAGGGAAGGAGAGCTGCACAGCAGAGCAGGGCAGGAGGTGAGACTGGTAATTTTTTCTCGTAATAGCAACTAATAATTTTTTGTTTTCTTTCTTTTTGGTAGGGAGACAGACCGGTAGGCATGATATTACACTAGATATTGTGCAGTTATAAAATATAGTTTGTGACTATGACTTGTGACTATGTTTTCATGAAGTGGTGATGTCCATGGTGCAGAAGGGTATAATACAACTCATAGTCAATTCAATCTGGTGTTATCAGGAATCTGAAGAGGTCAGGGGGTAGATTACAACTGCACATTTGAGTATCATATGAAGTGCATAATAGCTATTGGATATTTGGGGCTCAGAAGCTTTCCTTCAGAGGATAGGCTTTACAGCCCCATGTCTCGCTCTGACAGTACTTTGTGACTGAGCAGCCCTTCAGCATTCTATGTTTGTCAGTTAATATGTCTTTTGAAATACAAAACCACCTCTAGGTCCAGTGCATGCAAAAGCTGCCATTGCTTTACTTTCCAGAAGTCTCAGTTTGGCCAAGAGGCAGAAAGAACTATTCTGATTCCCTTCTTCTTCAAGGAAGATGACGGTGCAGTCCAGTTAATCTCTTACTTTCTAAATTGGATTCAGGCATGAAGATGATGTACAACACTTCAAAGTGATGAGGGACTCAAAGGGAAACTATTACTTGTGGACAGAGAAATTCTACTCACTGAACAAGCTGGTAGACTACTACAAGACAAGTACTATCTCCAGGCAGAAGCAGATCCTCCTGAGGGATGACAGCCGAGAAGAGAAGGTAAACACAAGCTGTCCTCAAGAGTTCTTGAGTAGGAAACCCTTCTATTGAAGGAATTTGGCCCACAGGAATGTCTTGCAGAGAGTGTGAGGGAGAGTCTGTCCTTGGAAAACTGACCACAACACTGTGCTGGTGGGTGCTGCAACACAATTTTTTAGTTGATTCAGCATGTGGTTATGTAATTGAGCAGAATGTTCAGATTTTGTTTTGGATGTTAACAGAAAGGGCTCAAATCTAATAGAGAAGTTCTGCTGAAGTTGTTCTGAGGCTCTGGAGATGAAGTTCTAAGACGCCTTGCACAACCAAGGGAGGCAGGTTCTACCATATGAAACGCCTAGCTCTTTTCATAAGGGCTTGTACAAAGTTTACTGTTAGGTTGTCTGAGACGAATTTGAATCTGATGTCCTGTTGTCCTTGAATACACTCAGATTGCAGCTGTTATTACAGTCCAGAGTTTGTTCAGAAGAATCACGTATCTTCTGTTACTCAGTGAACACAGTTAAGGGTGTTGCAGGAGGAGCCCTGCAACAGTGGCTAGTAAGGGCTGAAAAGCACTGCTGAGGAGAGCACAGCAGATGTGGGAACAAGGTATGTACTCAGGGAAGATGTAGTAGATGAGAAGATGAGAAAGCAGGGAAACCCAGCCCAATGAATGCCTGGTTTTGTGCCAGGAGGACATGCAAATGCCATAGCAGCGGTTGCTATGCACTGCACACACAATACTGGGAGTGATCATGCCTGGTCATTGCAATAACCAAGGTCCAGCCCTACTGGGAAACGGATTCTGGTGTTAAATTACCAGGATGTTCAGGCAGAGGTGAGCAGGAAGTACAGGACCTGCTCACCGCAGCAGTAAAGTTTTATAGGCTGCACATGGGTCTTTCTTGCTGGCTCCAAAAAAGAGAGGATTTATATTTCAGTCCGGCAAGGGGACTTGTGTTGTTGTCTCCTTTTAGTTCACTTATTCAGCGCCTTAAAAATGCATTAGTAGGATATAAAATAGAGACTCTGGGACCTGTTAGAGAGAGATCACAGCAAAGAATGGTCTGGGGAAGGAGAAAGGAAGACTTGTATGCAAGATTACCAATAAAACAACCTGTTTGAGCTGACTCTGAGCAGGAAGGGCAAGGGAAAAGCATTTGCTCCAAGATGCAGACAGGCAAATAAAAAACAGGAGTCAAGTTTGCTTTGGCAAACGCTCTGTGCATTTGTTATGGTGATGGGCTCAGCAGGGTATGTTTAGCACTCAGCACAGTGGGGTTTCAGTTCACAGTTAGAATTTCTAGCTGCTACAGCCATATGATAAAATGATAGTAATATACGTATTTCAGTGCAGAGACAAATGAAGTCTGAGGGCATTATTTCTAAAAAGAGTTTGCTTCCTGTGCCTCATGTAAGTGACCATATTTTCAGGCCAGCATCACCCATTACTACCCACTTTTCAAATGGGTAACAGCTATGACAAAGATCTGCAATCCAGGAGTCTTGATTTGTCCTTCCATTCAGAGGAGCCTATCTCTGGAAAATCCTCCAACATAAAGGGTAGTGATAATAATCCATGGGTAATGATTGCTAAGCTTCGGTCAGGATCGTGGTAGGAAGCAAAACCTGACCTCACTTTTGGAATCTTTCTTCCCTCAGGAAAGGCGTGGTGGGAGCCTGGAACGAATGAGCCGGGATGGACTCCATATGGGTGGAGCAGCTGGAGAAGCTCATTCTTCTATGTCCAAGAGATATGTGGACCATCCTGTCCCTGTGTTGCACCAGCAACAGGTAAAGAATCTGGACAATGCTCTCAGACATATGGTTTGATTTCTGGGAGGTCCTTTGTGGAGCCAGGAGTTGTACTCGATGATCCTTGTGGGTCATTTCCAACACAGGATATTCTGTGATTCTACCAGGAAAGAGAGCACATGAAGCCTGGGCACACAAAACATTGGCCTTGATTGCTTGATAGCAAGTGAACAGTCACTTTATCAAAATCTGCCACCCAGCATCTGTGTTAGTAGGCAGTCAATCAGTTCTTCCTATGGGAATAGCAGCAATGATGGATGGTATCAGCCTGGGGAGCTCTTTTGGATTGAAATAAATGTCAGCTTTATTTAGGTCTGTGATCCTTGGGACTGACAAACAAACAAAAAATAGAAAACGGTTCACCATGGTCCTTCCCACTGGGAACCTGAGAGTACTGGGTTCCATCCCAAAAAATGCAAGACAAGGGTTAGTGCCATGTGAAGGTACAGAAACACTTTCCAGTCTTGTACAGTTTCAAGAACTCCTCTCAAATCTGAGGGACAAATGAAACCTCACTGCCTGATTCTTTTTTTTGTATGTGATGCTGCTGACAGTGACACAAAACACATCAAGAATAAGAAATGATTACAGTAACACTGGGAGATTTTGACTTCCTCCAGTACATTCTTCCTCATTTTCCTCTTCATTCTGGGACCTCTCTGTGCTCTTTCATCATGTTGCACATCTGATGTGTGATGCCTCTTTGCTCCCTTGCTAGCACAGGAGTGGAGAAGACAACAGCAGCATCTGGTGATGTCTTCAAGGTTCATGATTAATGTGGGGGGAAATCATTTTCACAAAAATCCTGTGCATACCATAACATGAGCCTCTGTGAAAAAATTAACTGTCCCAGCTAAAACCATAGCAGTAAGGTTGCCTTGTGTCTCTTGGCAGAGACAGAGTAGTATCAGCCAAGGAGAGGACTTGTCCTGCTGAAGGGAAGAAATCCAAACCTGTGTCCCCTAAGGCAGGAGAGCTCCTGTATCAGGTGGCCAGGGACAATCATGAAAGAGCTGATCTCTCACCAGATAGCCTGTCAGAGGACTGCTGATGGAACAATATGGCCTCTGATAAAGCTGAGGGCCTGCACTTGTTGGAGCACAGTCTACGTCTGAGTCACATTTGTTACAGAGCAGAAACACTCGGGAATGAAGCACCCATATAGTAAATCCTGCAAAGCCAGATTGAGGTCACTCACCTCCAGGCAAGGACAGCTGAGGTGCAAACTGTGTTCCAGTCTCAGATACATTTCATGCTGACAAAGGTGCTGACAAAGTAAGACCAAGGGAGCATTTAGAAGACTAAGTCCAATAAAAGAAGCAAGAGCAAGATAGCTTTTTACAGCAAGCACAAGCTGTTGTTCTTCCTCCCCTCTGTTGATACAAGGGATCAGATGCTGTGACACTGAAGCACTGCTGCAACCTGAGCTAACATGATAACAGATTCTGTCACATTGTTATCATAAGAAACCCTCAGTGCACATCCAGGCCTGTAGAGATGAAGACACTCAGCACCTCTTGACCGTGCAGACGAAAGAGAAGTTGCTTCCTCAAAGATTTCCGTTGGTAGGATTTTGGATGTGCATCCATTTGGCATCTTTTTCTTTGAATGTGATTTTGTTTCTTTCATTAATTGGGCTACTGGGTTCTTAGGCCTGTTCCCTGCACTGTACAGCATGGGGCAGCCCAAAGGAAAAGGGAAGTAGTGAGACTGAGTCTCAGTAACTCCAGATAAGCAAAGTGTTCCCTTGACAAGCTGGCTTTTCACCTGTGATTTAGAACAGGCTAAGCTTTTCTCCAAGCTCCCAGAGGCCAAAAAAAGACACTGAAGCTTTTTTCAAACAGATGTGGAACGTAGCTGAGGGCAGCCAAATTTCAATTTCTATGGAGAAAAATCCAAAATAGAAGAACCTGAGGTAACCTCTTCCATGACAGGAATTGCTTTCAGGACTGCAGCACAGGGACTGTACTGGAAGCAGACATCTAAGATGATTTACATGAGGGTTGGACCCTGGCTCCTTGACCACCAGTGACTCTTAAAGCCCCTCACTCGTAATCCTTCATATGTTTGTGACATTTCTCTTGCTGTTTTCCTTCTAGGATAGGTACGGGGGGAGCCTGGACAGGAAAGATGCACTGCATGGACTAAGATATCATAGCCAAGGAAGTGCAGCAGCTATGCAACGGAGACACACGGACCCACTGCACCAGCAGACACCGGTGGGTAATGTACTTGCAGGGCCATACCTACCCAACTTAATGGGTCCCTTAGTGATGGCCAAACAGTTTGGGCAATACCATCTGCACAGAGGTTGCATTTGAAACACTGTATTGAACGTGTTGGGACATATCTTGAAGACATTTCTGAGTCTCAAGGCTCTATTGTGGCCACTTGAATCTCATTCTGTGATGCTCTGAAGGTAGGACTAGAGTGTTACATTAGCGTAGTTCTACAACTATACTCAAAATCGTTCTTAATTAACCGAACTATTAGAAGAAGGAACTTAGCATCAGCTCACTACAGTAGGGGTCTGGGGCATTGTGAGAAGGCCTGAGCTCACCGAAGGATCTGGATCAAGCATGTAATTCATTGTTTCCTGCTCATCTCTGTCTCCTTCCCAGCGAATACTATGGGTCCGTGCCTTGTACGACTTTGATGCTGTGGAACATGATGAACTGGGCTTCCGCAGCGGAGACATCGTAGAAGTCCTAGACAGCTCCAACCCATCATGGTGGAAAGGACGTCTGCGTGGGGAACTCGGTCTCTTCCCTGCCAACTATGTCACACCGGTGCTACTGTGAGGCTGCATTTGTGCCCCAGAGGTCCATATCAGAGCTGCTCGTCTGACATGACAGGGACAGAGAAGGAGTGCATCTTCCCTTGTCCCCAGGACATTTGGTGGTTTTGGTTTTGTCTTAATTTATTGGCAACTGATCTTCTGAGATGCTGGTGAGAAAAAGAACCCTCTGAAGGATTTTTTTTCCCTGTTTTGCATGTTCATGACCGGGAGGAGAGCAAGAATCCTGGACTGTTTATTGAAATCTTCCTGGATCCTCCCTGCCCCATCATTCCTTTGGCTAAGTATTAATAACTTCCTGCAGTTAGGTCTGTTCCGCGGAAGTGGCACCTCAGAGAAATTAGGCTTTGGTATCTGGGTAGAACCTACCCCTTTTATTTTGGATCTGGTTGCATTCATAGTCCATTCACGCTCTGTTTCACCTTACTTTCAGAGGCAGAACAAGTGCCCAGGTGAATAAAATGATGACTGATAATCAAATTTCTTTTAGGTAGAGATGAGAAGTCCTTAGGCTGAGGCGCAAGGCAACCATGACTTTTCTAAATAGTTTTTGGCTTGCACCTCTAGCACTTTCTGTGTGCTTAGACTGTGTGGATACAGGTGAAGGGACGAAATCCTGTAAGTTTTTGTACAAACAACCCGGTGATGAACATACAGGAGGGTGAGAAGCTAATTTCAGTGCTTCTACAGACAGTCCTGCTCTCCTGCACTTCTGTCTGCACCCTATTGCAACAATCTGTCTCATTTTCAAGCTGCTTTCCAAGGTACCTGTGCATCCTTGTAGATGTCCTGGTTAGAGCGGGTCAAGCCCATCAGCTAAATGAATATCCTCTGGATTGAATAACAGTGGGCAAGCCTTACTGGTTCCTTTCTAAAACTGAACTGGGGAGGCGCTAGGAAGAAGAGGTTTTTCAGGTTTGGTGCCAGAAGTTCTGTCCCTGAGAAGGTGAGGTGTTCTGGATCGCTGAGTACACAGCTCTGACTTGCCAGTGGAATGCCTCATGCAAATCATTGAGCTGTTACTTTACAGTATGCAGAGAATAAAGTTGCGGCCATTTAATAGTCTGTTCTCTGTTCCAGTTTCTTTTAGATGAAATAAGGTAAATGAATAGCATTCCAAATCGTGGCTGAGTGAATGCCAAGATGTGATACAAATATATTGCAAATGAATATTAAAAATGATCCAAACCATGAGAGAGAGACACTGCCACATAACCACTGCTCACACAAGTTTATATTAAACAAGCTGCCTGATTTTTTCACAACATGTGGGACCTCAGCAGTCAGCAAGGAAGTGGTGATTTATCATTCTTGGGAAAGAAATAAAAGGCAAGTGAAAAATTCTAAAAACAAATCAGACTCGGCAAGAAAAATGTTCTTATCTTTTGTTAGTCCCAGTGGGAGAAAAAAAATCCAGGAAACAGGTTTCTGGTGCAGCCCAATTCAATGTTGCTGGCCTAAATTAAGCTGCCAGCTAGACAGGGTATTAGCAGAAAGGACCTATTGTCAAGGGTTTGAGAGAGCTCCACCAAAAGCAGATTATTAATGGCTGAAGTAAAATGAGAATAATTAACATGGCATATAAGCTCTCAATAGAATAGAAATCTTTGAAAGGCACAGTAAGAGCTTATCTCCATTAGCTACCAGGGTGGTTTGGGAAATGGAGAGAGAGCACACAACTCCCTGGGCTGGATGTGGCCCTGTTCTGATGCAAGGACTCTGTTCCAGGCTGCTAGCATCTTGCCTTTAAAGTGATGTTCATGTGGCTTGGTTTGGAACAAGCTACCTCACTAATGGGTGTGTAACATCAGTGATTCTACAGGTTGAAGTGTTTTGTTTTGATTCACTCTTTTTATTTCAACTTTTTAACTAAACTAATGTCAAATATGAAAGACAGGGAGTTAACATTTGATGAGAGAGGGTCAAAACCCAAAGTAAAAATGGAAACAAAGGGGATTAAAAAAAACAAACCTGTCAAAAAGGAAGCGGGATAAGAATGATTATTCTTTCATATTCAGGTCTGGCTGAAATAGAAAAATGGTATGTTCACCCCTATTCCCACAGCGTCAAATCATCTTTCAATTAGTTCTTTCTGACTAGTTACTTTCAAAATTGGAAGTAGTGCCTCCTCTTCCTTTCCTTGGCTTTCTAAAGACCCTCTTGGTAGTGAAGATGTAGCTGCACAAAATCAATTGAAGATAACGCACGTAGCAGTTTGATAGCTCTTTCACATGTTTGAAAGCCCTTAACAGAGATTGACTAATTAAGCAAGTCTAAGTAGTATGTTGTAAGTATGCCCATGTTAAGTCATAACTCTTTTGAGGAAGAGGTAAATTTGCACGTGATTTTTTAATTGACGTTTAAGGAATTAATACTTCAAGTAAGGCATTAAAGGACTGTGTGCTAATTACGGACAGCACATAAGGACCACAGTAAAATCATGGTTTTCCATTATAGTCAGCACCTAATGACACCAAAATTACTAGGCAGCAAAGGTTTCATGGCATCCATGATAACTAGACTGGTGCCATGTTCTGCACTGCCTCGTGAGCTGACCAAGATTTGGTCTGTAAGACCCAGTGTCGTTTTGTTCTGGGGAGCAGAGGCAGTGCTACTTGCAGGTACCTGTTCCTACCAGCAGCTGGAAGGCATAGAAGTCAGACTGCATTCTTGTACCCTCCCACAGTGGAAGTTGTTTTCTTCCCAGTAAAACAACAGCACAGAGAACCGTGGCCCTTTCCACGTCAATGAACCCTTGGATACAAGGAGAGTAGTTTTGCTGAGGTAGAAGATGCGTCCTTGGAGACACCCAAGGTCAGGCTGGAAGAGCTCTGAGCACCCTGATCTAGTTGAAGGTGTCCCCTTTCATTGCCGGGGAGATAGACCAAATGGTGTTTAAGGATCCCTTCCAACTCAAAGGATTCTGTGATTCTACGCTGTGCCCACAAGATGGATGAGTTCTCCATGCCCTGTCTTCTGCTGTAGTCTACCCATGAAATCCCAAGTTGAGTACAACAAAAAGGAGAGAGAGGTACAGTCCTCTCCTCCATCCATGTCTCACCAGCCTTCCTGCTTCATCTTCCCACTGGTTTTAACAGTAACTGAATTCTTATTAATATTGTGGTGGCGTGAAAGCTTCAGATTCTGTGCAACAAGCACATGTTAGCACCTTAGGACAGGTGCTTTAAAATGACAGTGTGGTGCACTGAATTTCCTGGGCATTTGTCAATGTTTGACAAAGGATTAACACTTCAGAATATATCCTGAGAGCCAATGTAAAACCAAAAAGGGGAGGAATGAAGAGGAACCCGGGGAAGTGTTTTGTTTGGTATTTCTCTTAGGCAAGAAAGACATTTCATGAGAGAAGAGATTGTAAACAAAGATAAAACTGGGAAAAGTATGTGGGAAGCAAACATTATTATAACAAATGCAACAGAAGAAGCTGGACGGCACATGGAAAAATAACAGTTTGATGAGCACAGCTGAGCTGTGCTTTCTCCTGTCAGAATGAACTTTTCGCCTACATTCTGCTGCAGATCCATATTTTGTTTATAAATGTCTCTGTGATTAATAAGGCTGAGAGAAAAACAGTAAATGGAAATCTCCTTTCATGAGAAAGCTGTCCAGACAGTTTTCAGTGCCACAGAACAGAGATGCCTCTGTTTTGGTCTACATGCTTATTATGACGGCTGCACTCAGTGGAGCATGCTGCAGAAATAACTGGAACAGAAGAGCACTGCGGAGATGATCCTCAGTGTTGGCACTGAGGATCCCCTGTAATGCAGATACAAAGGACTGAGAACAAGTTCCTTGATTGTTGGCTTTGATTGTTTTCTCTTTTCATTCAAAGTAGTTTGCAGTTTATCAAAGAATTGTTTGAGTTGGAAGGGACCCTTAAAGGCCATCTGGTCCAACTCCCCTGCAATGAACAGGGACACCTACAGTTCGATCAGGGTGATCAGAGCCCCTCCAGCCTGACCTTGGATGTCTCCAGGGATGGGGCACCCACCACCTCTCTGGGTAACCCATTCCATCACCTCACCCTTGCTGTAAAAGACTTCTTATATCCAATCTAAATCTCCCCTCTTTCAGTTTGAAATCATTTCATGGAATCACAGAATCCTTAGAGTTGGACCTCTGAAGGCCATCTAGTCCAACTCTCCTGCAATGAGCAGGGACATCCACAGCTAGATCAGGTTGCAAAGGGCCTTATCCAGCCTGGCTTTGAAAGTCTCCATGGATGGGGCATCAACCATATCACTGGGCAACGTGTCCCAGCACCTCGCTGCCCTCATCTTAAAAGATTTTTTCCACATATCTAACCTAAATCTACCCTCTTAGAGTTTGAAACCATTTACCCTTGTTCAGTCACCACAGACCCCACAAAAGAATTTCTACCCTTCTTTCCTTTAGCTCTCCTAGATACTGAAAGGCCATTATCAGGTCACCTTGGAGCCTTCCCTTCTCCAGGGTGAAAAGCTCCAGTTCTCTCAGCCTGTCCTTGTAGGAGAGGTGTTCCACTCCGTGGATTAGTTTTGTGGCCCTTCTCTGGATGCACTCCAACAGGCCTATCTCTCTCCTGTACTGAGGACTCCACATCTGGTTGCAGTACTACAGATGAGGCATCATGTCACTAGCATGGAGTAGAGGGGCAGGATCACCTGCTTCAACCTGCTGGCCATGATCCTTTTGATGATTTCCCCTTGTCCTATCACAACACACCAGGCTAAAGAGTCTCTCCCCCCTTCAGATACTGAAATTTGAATGGGCTGTACAGGAAAAGCAGAGCTTTTCACAACAGATACCTGTAATGCAAAATGCCCCAGCAACTGTAGTCCAGAAGTAAGGTGAGGGATGAACTCTGCACAGAGCAGGAAGTGATAAGTCTTTAATTATATCAACATCACATCTCATGGACAACAAGGATGTTGGTCCAGAGATACAGCTCTCTGGGTTTGGGCTGTGCTCAGAGTCTTGCTATGCTGCTTTCTGCCAAGGAGCCTGAGTTGCACCAGACGAGGTGTGAGAAGTTTTTGGCAATGCTGTTCCCTCTGAGGTTTGCCAGGGCTAGAAGCTTGTCTGTGCCTCATATGGTCAAGAATCATAGAATCATAAAATCAGAGAATCACAGACTGGTTGGGTTTGAAGGGACCTCAAAGCCCACTCAACCCTAACCCCCTACCATGGGCAGGGCTGCCACCCACCAACTCAGGTTGTCCAGGGCCCCATCCAACCTGGCCTTGAGCCTGGCCTTGAGCCTCCAGAGATGGAGTACCAATCCAGTCTCTGTGGGCAGCCTGTGCCAGTGCCTCACACTCCTCTCAGTGAAAAGAAAACTCCCTGTACCTCACTGCAGCTGCAACCCATCACCCCGTTGCCCCTTGATACACCCAAAAGCCCATCGCCCAGCTTGTGCCTCTGTGCTGACATAAGACACCTCATTTCAAATACCTATTCAAAGTAATTGGCATAGCTGCTCTTAAATGCAACCCTATAGGAATCAGCTGAAGCCATTAGTGTACTCTGGATGATCCAGAGAATAACATTCACTCCTTCCAACACACATGTTGACTAAAGAGTTCCTGACACCCAGGCACTCCTCAGTGCTGAGAGTTTTGCATTTCAGTGGGGAAGCATGAAGTGAGCATGTGATACAGCCTTTGATGGCTCTGAGGGAGAGGGCAGAGCATCACCAATTCCTCCAGTGTTTAGAGGCAGCTTTCATATGACAATTCAGGAGCCTTAATTTGCATCAAACGCAGAAGTTTCTTCTATCAGCAAAACTGTCAGTAGAAAACAGCCAAGGACTTATCTGTGAGGTGCAGGATAGTGGGAAAATGGGCGAGTGAAGTGGGCAAGTTCACTGACCTCTGTGCAGAAAGAAAATTCAAAGCACATTATCTGCTGTCATTGTGCGACTGGATGCTACTTGGCGGATGTCCTGCCTGCTAACTTCAGAATGCAAAGTTTGCCAAATGGCAGGCATGCACAGATCCTGGTAGACATAGAGAAGTAAAATTAGCTCAGGCAACAAAGGGAGGAAGGAGAAACAAACAAATTAACAGATCTCTAGATATCTTGCGGCTTTTCCTCACTAGTCCAAGCAGGTTCATTTCCACTGGGATTTATGGAAGATATTGCCACAGCAAGTTTGTCACAAATAAAGAGGAGAG